AACAATTAAGAAAAAACTTCGTAATCTTCGTTAAAACACGTACGTCATATATTTATTTACAACTAAAAAATTATATGTCTTATCCGTACTGTACCGTACTATTCGTAGGTCGAAACGTTAAACGCTTTATCCCCATACAAAAATATTGATGTAGTTAAAAAGTCATACTTTTTCCATGCATCGTGTCTAAATGATACAACACAGATTGCATGGTTGTGAAGTATCTATGACATGATCCACATTCGTATTTTTTTCGTCTATTCTCCCATACGTCTTCATAGTTGTTGTCCTCCCGTTCCCTCGTCCGCCATATTTGTTATGATAATACGAAACGAAGACGCTCATTGATGACATAAAAATTTTCTTTGATTTCATTAATTGATAAAAATTATATTCATTCTTAAAATTTAATTCCAGTGAAAAAATATTCAGATAGTTTTTGTTATTTTTTTTAAATAAAAATATTGGGAATTCGAAACTATATCCTAGCTCTGCCTTACATTTTTAAGAACCCAAGTTTCCATTGGTCAAGACAAAAGGCGCAAACTTGAAACGCGCAAGACGTTGGAAATGTGAATGATAGAGTAGGAGGATCGATGTTAAAGTATTATAATTAGTGTAGTCATTCTTTGTCAGCCTCTTAAGGAAATATCAGAATACGAAGAAGGAAGAATATATATATTCAGAGGATAAATCTACTTTGCAGCCATAACTTCAGAGATTAGTGGTGAGTTACAAAAAACGGTAGGCAATCACTGATTTAATCATTTAATCAGATATCTGTCGGTAGATGTTACTCTATTTGTTAAATTATTATGCCTTTTCTTAAATGAAGACTTTGCCAAACTTTGCTTTGAGTGGGGATCCAACCAAAGTAACATACATTAATTATAGATAAGCTAGTTTATCAAAAAATTCATAGGCCTATTGACCTACAACATGACAGCCGAGGGAAATAAGCAAACTTCCTCTCAGACTGCTCTATGGAAGAACTGCTAGCCCTTCTAGATCTGCTTATGATGCATAAAACTAAAATTAATAAAACTTGCAAGAAAAATATGTTTTTTTCTGTATCTTTAGCTAATGGCAGGGAAGGGGATAAAACCTAATTTTGGTAAATTTACAATAAGAATTCAAACTTTTTAAATTTAGAGTATGATTTTTTTTTGAAAGGGGGGGGGTGGGTGGGTGGGGTTCCTGACCACTTTTACACTTGTAATCTAATGGTGCTTTAATTGATTAGATAAGGCACATACAAAGTGTTTTGACCCAAGACTGGATGCTAATAAGAGTTGTGTAAAATGAAAATTCTAAGTTAAAAGTCATATAATTGTTTTATTGTAAATTTCTAGATGACAAGGAACATCTTGAGAAAATAAAAGAAGGAACTGGAGAACTTAACCATACATTTCAGGATGCATCAGTACGTATGAAAAGTTTCTTTTAAAGTGTAAGCCAAACAGTTCAGCTCTCTTAAGTTAATCTATTAGAATAATTATACTTTCACAAATTAAAATGATTACACAGACACAAATAGTCTATCATTGAAAATGAAATATTTTTTTTCTAAATAGCATCCTGTTCGAGCAAATATTTTCAAGGCAAACAAATTTGCTCCTTAAAAAAAGCACCAGCTTCATCATCTGATTCAGCAACAGAAAGGCAGTCACCACCTGCCACATCACTAAATACTACAGGTAAATCAAGCAGGTTAATGCAATAGTAACCTTTGAACTGTTTGCAGCATCTCTCTGCACTTACCTTTTTAATATCTTTTTTTTTTTAAGGGAAAAAAAATCTTATTTTTGTTATAAATTGCCTGAAAATTTCTTTTAATTCTGTTTTAATAGGACACTTTCTTCAGAAAGTGACACTGAAGATTTAAACCATAAATTTAGGTCCAGGGAATCTTTAGACAAAGACAAATTAGTACTTTTCATATTTAATTATGTTATAGTGTTTAAGCCATGATAAACTTTTAAGAATCATTGTTTTAATATTGGATGACCTGTAGTCCTAGGTAAATTTATGATCCCCTTTGCAGTTTCCCCTTTGCAGTTTCGTTTGCAACTTTATGTCAATCTGTTTTGGTAAATGTAACTTTTTAGCATTACACACCAAAAGTTGCTTTTAATACTACACTTTTCAGCTAAATAAAGAGTATACTATATATTTATAGATGAATTTTTTTAGGTGAATGTTCTTGGCAAACTTCATTATAATACCATGTTCAAGTGTAAAAATGTTAAAGTTTAAGATTTGTTGATTCTCATTAGTTAAGAAATGTAACAGAAATCTTCATGGACATTTTCAGAAAATCTTTGTTCTTGTAGGGAAAAGGGAAGCAGTTCATAAGCAATGTTGATGTGTTGAGATCAGAAGATAAGAAACTCTGCAAAAAAATCTGGGCTCTTGAAAAAACAAAAAGAAAGAAATGAAAATATGAATGATATTCGATCAAAGGATCCGAATGATGAAATTCTGGAAATTCCAAATGGAGAACCAAGAAGAATCTTGGAATTGACCATTTCTGCTCGAAAACGCTTGAAAGCCCTCAAAGCTGTTGCCCTATTGCTAAACAGACTTTTCTCCTACACTGGAATTAAAAACTGTTCCATTTCTGGCGAAAAAAAAAAAAACTTTGAATTATGCTGAGGAAGGACCCCGCCCTCCTCTTGACCAAGTAAGGTTTAGGATTCTACAAAGAGTCGTGTTTGAAATTTTTCATAATTTTACCAGGAATAAACTACATGTACACGAGAAATTCAAAACATTCAAAAAGTTGCAAGTAAGTGGTAAGGCAATTGTAAAGCCTTCAATTCTATGAAAATGTGTTGCCATTTGAATGCTGTTTTTTTTTAATTGTTATTAAAAGAAGAGGGAGCTCAAATTCAGCTAATATCAGTTCTTTATGTCTGTCTGTAAACAGTGTTTCAAGATACTTCAACTCTTTCTAGTTTGTCACTTTAAATATTAAATAAGAGTAAAATAAGATATACATGTATATATAATTATGGATATCAACTTATCAGAGTTGTTTACTTTAAAAAAAAAAAAAACATTTAAAGACATTTTGTTGCCATTGTTGGAAAACAAACAGAAATTTTGTGAAATCTTTCAAGATGCTGTATTATAAAATATCTTCTTTTACAGTTTTTTGCTTGATTAGACTTCTTGCATTTTCATGAATAAAAGTGAATAGTACAATTGCATTTTTGTATACAAATAAGCAAGAATATTCATGAATAGTTCATGAATTTTATTCATTCATGAACATTCCTGAATAAATTTTAAAAATTATTCATGAACAGTTCATGAAGATGCAATGAACTTATTATTGGACAATTCTTAAAATGATGAATCTTCATGAATATGACTCTTCATGAATTATTCATGAAAAAATATATTCATGAATATTCATCAACTTTCTTTCATGAATAAAAATTCATGATTTGAAAATGTCCAATAATAAGTTCATAGGATCTTCATGAACATTTCATGAATATTTCATGAATAAAATTCATGAATAATTCAAGGAAAATCATGAATTATTCATGATCATCTCGCAGGGGAAGTTATTTTTTAAATAATTTGTTTAAGTTATTAAATGTCATTATTTTGGGCTATCTTTCCCTGATTATGCTTTTCTTCAGTAACTTATTCCCATTATTGATACTTTACTATTCATTATTTTAAACTTACTGGTATCTGAAAAGCTTTATCCATGCTGTACTTGGGTTATTAAGTAGATGGAAAGGGTTCATGACAGTAAAAGTAATCTATCTTTAAGATTTAAAAAGTTGAAATTCAACAAATCATAACTTATTTCAGTTATTTAAACCTTAACCAACCTCACTTTAGAACTCTTGCACAAAAATCTACAGCTTTGCACAAAAAATTTAAGACATAGAGATTGTACAGTAATATCCAAGGATTTTAGGAAAATTAGTCTCACTGTTGGCAAAATTGGCGGAAGTTGTGTAATTGACCTCTGAAAAATCATGAAATGGAATTATTTTTCCGTGAAAAATATCATGATATTTTGATAAATAATTATATCATCATATCTGCTCAGGAGATATGAAGTCTGTTGAGCCTATTAAAAGAAGTACATATATTTACAACTTTCTCAGCCTTACATCATCTTAAATCAGCAGCAAACTCAAAATATTGATGTTTTTTGGCAAAATTGATTGGCATTCTACGTTTTAAGAATTAACTCAAATGAGTTATTTCTTTGTTTAGTAATAAATAAGTGAAGTAACCTAAAAAAATAACTTGATTCCATCATGCCCCTGACTGTTGACAAATCATGGCTTAGAAGATTTTCAAAAGATATTTTTTCCCTATAAGTTTTATCTTCTATTGTGGCCCCACCCTACCCACAGAGGTCATAATTTGAACAAACTTGAAATGACACTACCTGAGGACGCTTTCATATAGATATGACCAATCATGACTTTGCTGTTCTTGAGAAGAGGATTTTTACAGATTTTTGTTTAGTACCTCTATGTCAACCCTATGTAAACCTTTGATCGTCGATTGGATTTTATTTAATAAATCAAAGTTTCATGAAGCATCTTGATATCAGATATGGTCATTGGTCAGGTCTGATTTTTCAAAAAAAAAAAAAAGAAGAGTTTTTTTGCTTTCTCTAATGCTGTACAGTTTCTTGTTTATAAAACTTTTATAATTATAACTTCAGTTTTATGCACCCCCCCCCCCTTTTTGGAAAAAAAAACTACCTACCTACCTACTCATATCTAAAATGAGAGTCTATGAACCTAATCATTTTTTTATATGAAATTTAGATTTTTGGGGGCCTACAAACCAATACAGATTTTGCAATTGACTACTTATATTTTGACCAAATTAAGAAACCAGTTAACGAGTTATCCATTGCCATCCTTAATATATTTTGAAACCATTTCATTTCTGTTTTCATGAATATGTAACACCATGTAAATTTGTAACAAGAAACAAGATAGATATATACTTACAAAGTTGTTAAACCAAAAGCCTGCAGCACTTTTTCAAACAAAACCTGATATTTTAATTCCGATACAACTCCACCAGGCTTAATTTGTGAAATTATGGAAGCTATGCAGCGGTTTATTTCTGTCAATTTCCCTAAAAACCTGCAAGAATAACAAAAATTACATATAAGAAGCTCTTATGGTATCTAATTTTCTAACCTTAAATATCTTTCAAGTATAAAACTAGAACTTCCAAAAGGGACAAATACCTCCCACTGGGTTTTTCAGAGAAGGTACCAAATCACTTATGTTTTCTGGATCTAAGAGGTGTTCACAATTTGCGTAAACATTTAGAGTGAAATATAATTACTCATTATATATTTTTAATGAATGAAACAATGGTGCAGCTTAATGAAACATCAATACTAATAATTACATTGTATTTTATTACATTGAAAAAACAAATTGCAGTCGTCATCTTTGTGAGACATGACACTCTGCAAATTGATTGTTGAAAAAAAAATCATTATATTTAATCATACAAAATCAAATTAATCTTGATAACTTTATATCAAATTCATTTTAAAAACAAAAGGCTGGTCATCCAGTTACTATGTATTTTGACAGACATAAATTACAATTAAGAGAGATAGAGAACAGAGATCTTTAGTTCTTCTGCCCAATTCCCAGAAGATATAGATAACACCTGCTTGATCAGAGATGCCCTAACAGCAACCCACACTGAACTCATTAATTTGTCTTTAATTGGATGCATGTCCACTCATTAATCCCAAGGGACAAATAGATTTATGCTAACTGCTTTGTAAATGCACTGTGTACAATAGAAAAGGCATATCTATGTCACTGACTGTTCAAAACAAAGAATTTTTTCTTTTAATTTGTTACAAAACTTTATATAATAAAAAAAAACTGTGTAATGTTGTTGCAACATTTTTCAATAAGGTTACTGTATGACACTTGGATTTGTAGGGATTATCTATCAAAAAACTTTTTTTCATACTTGATTTTATTTTTAGCTTTAAGGATGCTCTAAACACTGCATACTAAAGAGTTCTACTTGAAGGGTAGTTTTATGCAGTTAGAGTGATCTGCCCTTAGAAGAAAGAAAGAAAAAAATGGTTGTTTACAGTTAATTACAGAATTTGTAATAAATTTAAATATTCTTAGCATTATATTAAACCCAAAATTGTAATTGAATTCATCATTTCCATTAATATTCCCAATCTAAGTAAACAACAGTGATTTCTGTTCACGAATAGTCCATTGTCTTTGAACATTTTTCCTGCGGAAATAAGGCAGGTACCCTATGTTGAAAATGAACTAAATAATCTCAGTATGCACACCTTTGTATGATATATTTTTCTCCAAGTCCAAAAAGTACTTTTTGTTAGTGTTTAGAGCTTCCTTAACAACTGGCAGTTCTAGATTCTATGTCTCAAACCTACATAAACCCAAAATGACTGTCAATAAAAATGAAAAAAATAAACCACCTGTAAAATGCAGAAAAATTATCCAATAATGATGAAAATAGCAGGTGCACACTTTCATATGGTGCATAATAAGTTTACAAATTTTCAGACAAATCTATGAAATAGTCTCTGAGAACAGGACCGGACAAAAATATGTAATAACAAGAGGCCCATGGGCCACAACGCTCACCTGAGTAATTTTGGCCTTACTGTTTTTCAACTGATTCCCCCCCCCCCCCTTGTAGTACTTATTGTGGCCCCGCCCTACCCCCAGGGATCATGATTTGAACATTTAGAATCTACATTACCCAAGAATGCTTCCACATAAGTTTCAGCTTTTCTGGCCCAGTGGTTCTTAAGAAGAAGATTTTACTACATGTACATATTTTAATGTAAAACTTGGATTCTCTATTGTGGCCCCACCCTACCCCCGGGGGTCATGATTTGAACAATTTAGAATCTATACTACCCCAGGATGTTTCTACATAAGTTTTAGCTTTTCTGGCCCAGTGGTTCTTGAGAAGAAGATTTTTAAAGATTTTTTCTACATATTTCAATGTAAAACTTGGATTCCCTATTGTGGCCTTGACCTACCCCCGGGGGTCATGATTTGAACAATTTAGAATCTATACTACCCCAGGATGTTTCTACATAAGTTTCAGCTTTTCTGGTCCAGTAGTTCTTGAGAAGAAGATTTTTTAAAAAATTTTTCTACATATTTCAATGTAAAACTTGGATTCCTCATTGTGGCCCCGCCCTACCCCCGGGGGTCATGATTTGAACAATTTAGAATCTACACTACCCCAGGATGTTTCTACATAAGTTTCAGCTTTTCTGGCCCAGTGGTTCTTGAGAAGAAGATTTTTAAAGATTTTTTCTACATATTTCAATGTAAAACTTGGATTCCCTATCCTGGCCCCACCCTACCCCCGGGGGTCATGATTTGAACAATTTAGAATCTACACTACCCAAAGATCTTTCTACATAAGTTTCAGCTTTTCTGACCCAGTAGTTCTTGAGAAGAAGATTTTTAAAATTTTTTTCTACATATTTCAATGTAAAACTTGGATTCCCTATTGTGGCCCCGCCCTACCCCTGGGGGTCATGATTTGAACAATTTAAAATCTACACTTCCCCAGGATGCTTCCACATAAGTTTCAGCCTTTCTGGCCAAGTGGTTCTTGAGAAGAAGATTTTTTAATGACCCCACCCATTTTTTGTCTTTTCTTGCTTATCTCCCCTTTGAAGGGGGCTTGGCCCTTCATTTTAACAATTTAAACTCCCTTTCACCTAAGGATGCTTTGTACCAAGTTTGGTTAAAATTGGCCCGGTGGTTCTTGAGAAGAAGTTGAAAATGTGTAAAGTTTACAGACGGACGGATGGAGGGACGACAGGTGATCAGAATAGCTCACTTGAACTTTAAGCTCAGGTGAGCTAAAAATGAAAAAAAAAAAACACCTGTAAAATGCAGAAAAATTATCTAATTATGATGAAAATACCAGGTGCACACCTTCATATGGTGAATAATAAGTGTACAAAGTTTCAGACAAATCCATGCAATAGTCTCCGAGAACAGGTCTGGAAAAAATCTCGTCTACAGACAGACCGACAGACAGATGGACATGGTGATTCCAATATACCTCCCTAAACTTCTTTTGCGCAGTGATTGGGAAGGGCTTGCGCCACGCGCCATAGTCGCATTGAGGTGAAAATTGGCGCATTAAATCAACCATTGGTGGCGCAAAAGTGTGCATTCAAATTTTAGTGATGTTAGTTGGAAATATATTGCATACGACTTTCTTGCTTGTTTTACTTTCTTTTTAAAATCAGTCATTTTAATACAACAAATCTCATAGGTTAAAACCTGGCCAAAACTGCTTCCTGTTACATGAACAACAAAGGTACATTACCTACTCATTTCCAATGTTTGATTGAAATTTTGACGTTATTTATCCAAAATGCAAGAAAATTATATTGTTTCCGAGTTCCTTTAAATGTGTTACACTGCTTACGTGAAAAATAAAATTTGGTTAATGAAGAAACGTGTTTCTTTTCGTATTTGACATTTGTTTGTCATTTTGTTTTTTCTTAAAATGGCCCATCAGAATATACAGATGGCCCATACATTTTCAGAATGGCCCATTAAAAACTTTGACAGTTGCGCCATTGTCCCATTGACCTCGATGTCCTTCCCAATCACTGCTTTTGCGGGGGTATAATAATCTGATATCAATTTAATTAAAGCATTTTAGAGTAAAAAAGGATTTATTAGGCAATATTAAAAAATATTTGTTTCCAGTAACATGCCCAAAAATATAAGGGTAAGTATAGGTAGGCCATAATTTTTTTTGACATTTCCTGACAAGCAAAAAAAAAAGACGTTTTTATTGATGGGGCACAAGCACACATTATCTATGTTTACTATAGTAATCTATATATCGGCAAAATTATTGGGGGGGGCACAGCCCCCCTGTGCCCCCCCCCGGTTTCTACGGCCATGTTTGTTGCCCAAAAGCAAGAGAAACTAGTTTTAATTGTAATGGGGACTGACATTACAGATGTTCCCCAAATGCTCCCCAACTCGCTTTTGGTGAATTTTTCCCTATAAGATTCATTCTATCAAGTAATTACTAGTCTGAATCTATCAAGTATACTAGCTAGTCTTTTCACTTACTTCACGTGCGCTTACGAGTATGCATGTGCATGCATACCATATGTCATTTTGTCTACACTATTAATATATATTTATATTCTAAGTATCAAAGCATTTTATCAAAAAATATAAAAATTATGGCTATACCAAATGTGTTGGTCGTTTTATGCATTTCACACGTGCAAGTGCATGCATGCACATGAAAACCATGTCAATCTTGTTTACACTATTAATGTATCTTTATATTCTCAGTATCAAAGGACTCATAATATAATGTAAAAGTTACAGTGATATAAAGTTTATTAGTCATTTAACAAATTGTGCGCACATGCATGATGATCATGTCGTGTTCTTTAAACTATTAACAAAACAAAAACAGAAGATTCGAATAACATTGAGATTATGAATAGGTATGTAACCGACAACAAGAAAGCATGTCATTATTTATAAAAAGTTATATACTGTCCGGAATTACCCAGATATACCCTACCCCCCTAGACTTTGTTTGTGTGGGGATATCTTCAATATGATGGATTTTAGTCTCAACCCTGACTGATGATCATGGTCTGTGTGCACCAAAATTTTACCGCACCAGACCTTTTGTATAGAGGACTCAGTTGGTCAGAACTGTCTTAAATAGTTTGACTGCCGAACTCTTGATATATAATAAAATTTCATGAAAAGAAATTAACCCCATAATTTTTGCATAAGCAGCAGGTGTAATAAATCCCATCATTTTAGCATGAACACAAGATACCGAGTTATTTTTTTAAAACAAAATAATTCATTTCAGTGTCAGACTTACACACCTCTTTCTCCCCGTTTTCTCCCAAGACCTTACCATTTTGAAACCAGGGGCTCTCTTAAAATGTCGTTCTCTTGGGTTTGAACGCGCGTTCTCCATTGAACCTCTGGCGCAAAAGCTTTTTCAACAGGTATATCTTCTAAAGAATCGTAATTAGCCTCTAAATCACAAGCTTTGAGACAACTTTCAACTTCAAGATAGTCCTCTTTAAACAAATTAAATAAACGCCATTGATTTAAGATTATTTCAAAGATGTCACATTGTCTATATCTGACCCCCAGTTTGTCGACAAAATGACAGTCCCATGCAGAAGTACACTTTGGAAACTCGTTCGAACTTCCAGAACCATCAGAGTCAGATGTTATTTCGCATGAGCTTTCAGACGTGTCAATCACACCAACTACTGTAACAGACTCGGGAGTAGTTTCACGACTAGCACCACTAGTACTCTCCATTATCACAATATGGCGTGGACAAGGCCTAGTTCATTCGCACCCAAGATTGTTCGCACACCCTATATTTATTTTAGGAAAAATTATTGAATATCTTTGACATACCTTTGATAAAAAGTGAAGTTGCTATTTTTCCTAAAATAAAATAAAACTCGTATATGAGGACACATATATGTCAAAAGCAAACAAATACCAACACCGCACATCTATAAGAATGCGGGACAGTTCGCCCCAACAGACCATTGTGCTGAGACGTTTCGCTTCAAGACGATTCGCACCAGATTTACCCAATAATTTCCTTATCCTAGCTTTAATTATCCCTTGCTACTAGTAATGATTTCCTTTTTACTGACTTTGTATTATTTTTAATTATTTTAATAACCATTCCATATATTACTATTTTTGTATATATTGTCTTTGTTCAACTCAGTTCAAATTATTCACCCAATTAAACCAAAATATTGGAACAGTACACATGGTACATGGGGTACATTAATAACATAATCATATACATTTCATATAAACTGGTCAGAGGTACATAAACAATACGAAAAGATGACAGAAAATGAATAAATATAAAAAAAAAAAAGGCCAAGAGAAAATATATATATCAAGGAGGACAGACAGCATATCATAAATGTTTAAAATAAACATATTTTTTCAGGATTTTTTCGATTTGGGTTGACATAAAGTATTACCATGCCACACAATGCATTTTTATATTTTGTTTAATGGATTTAGTCTGTATGCATGGTAGACAGACATCTCGGCCCAACGACACCTCGGCCCGTGACGTCTGACACCTCGGCCCTGACAGGTCGGCCCAAAATTATTGACACGTCGGCCCATATAAAAGACACCTCGGCCCAATTTAAGCGGAATTTTATGATATAAAAAATTAATCCAGTGTCTGAATTATTATTATTATCAATGTAATTATTCTTTCTGACGGTTAAACGATCGATATTTTAAAAAAGGACATTTTATTGTTTATTCTTATGTCAGTATAAATAATCGTATAAAATAATAGTTTAAGTACGTAAAATAATTGCATCATTGATCTGAACTTCATCGTATGTTTCATCTTGTTCATTGATTTAAAATCATAGTTTAATACGGATAGCTAAAAATAATATATTTTTTTTTAAAAATCAGGGCTCGAACTAGTTTTTAATGTAAGTTGAATTCTTAAGAAATAAATAGATGTAAATGTTCTGAATGACTGTCTCACAATTAACTCTCCTCGTAATTATTCCCTCATTGTCACCAATATGACACGCACTGGAGATTTCAAAGGATGCGCCGCGGCATCTTGTTTGTTTATCGGTTAGTACTTCCAAATTATAATTAATTGTTTTTTATTCCTTGATTAAAGTCAATCATGTAGCTTGTGGAAGGTCTTTTTATTACTAAAAATAATCTTGATCATTTATTTTTTTTCGGTCAAAATTTTATTGAAGTCGCAGATTGGAAATATATAATACCTCACAATAAAAATTTGCTTGGGCCGAGGTGTCTTATGTATGGGCCGAGGTGTCTTAAGTTTTGGGCCGACCAGTCGAGGCCGAGGTGTCATTGGGCCGAGATGTCAATGGGCCGAGGTGTCGTTGGGCCGAGGTGTCTGACATTCGTATGCATGATCTGAGATACATTTCTGTTTTGAGCAAACAATATTTTATAGTAACTAATTTAAAATCAAACAACCGGGCCATATACACGTTACATTGTACACACAACCGTTTTCTCATTATTAAAACAGCATGCAGTTGGGTGTTTTTCGAATAAAAAGTACTTTCAATTCTAAATTTGGGAAAGCACACAGAGTCCGTAGCCCCATGCATATTTGACAAGGATGCTCCAGTTTTCCTTAGATCATGGTCAGATACCAGATGAATGGTCAGAGCAAACATCGTCCCTATATACAAGAAAGGGGAGAAACGGCCTATCTCCCTAACATCAATAGCCCGCAAGCTCCTGGGACATGTTGTACACAGCACAGTTATGGACCAGTTTGATTGGAAAACATCCTCCGTGATGAGCAACATGGCTTTCGTGCCCACCGATCATGCGAGACACAACTTGTCAAAACAGTCTGGACAAGATAGCCAGAAATATGGACCATGGGTACCAGACAGACATTATACTATTGGACTTTTCAAAGGCTTTTGATAAAGTCCCTCGCCAACGTCCTCTACTGAAATTGGAGCACTAAGGAGTGCCAGGTACCACCCTACGCTTGATTAAGGACTTCCTAAGTTGTAGAACCCAATCAGTGGTTCTGGATGGACATACATCTTCACCACTGGATGTTCTCTCTGGAGTACCACAAGGAACCATCCTGGGATCTCTCCTATTCTTGACCTACATTAATGACTTACCACCAATTCAGACACCAAACTGTTTGCAGATGATTGCCTGGTTTATCGTCAGATCCGAAATTAGAGAGGTGCAACCAAGTTACAGGAAGATCTCACTGCCTTAGAGGGATGGGAAAAGAAGTGGCAGATGTGCTTCCACCCAGAAAAGTGCTCAGTTATTCAGATCTCCAACAAATGGCAGCCACTGCAAACATCATACATTTTGCATGGACAACAGCTAGAAATGGTGGAGAGTGGGAAATATCTTGGTGTTACCATCTCCCAAGACTTACAATGGACCAACCACACCTACACCAATATAGGTAAGGCTACAAGAACCTTGGGCTTTCTGAGAAACCTGGGCCATTGTACACCATCAGTAAAGGCAACAGCGTACTGTACTATGATCAGACCATTGATCGAATATGCCTCATCAGTGTGGGATCCTTATTAGGCTACCTTAACTAAGAATCTGGCCTCAAGACCATAAACTGAGAACAGACTAATAAGTCAGAATTATATGTAAGATAAAATAAATAAAATGTGAATGCTTTTGTGTTTAGCTTGTGTATGTGGAACACTAATTTGAATTTCATGTAAATGAGGAAGTCATATTGGTTAAAATATTTACATGTTAACCTTTTTATATCCACAGGGATAGTGGCAGGGGAATAGTGTTTGTCATGTCTGTCTTCCATTCTTTCATCTGTCCTTCCATCACACTTTACATTTAGCTTAATATTTTAAAGAAAACTGTTGATAAGAAGATATTATCAAAGTCATACATATACATATATTGTACCAAAATAAATCATTGATTGTTTGGAATTCCTCATGCCTCTTTGAAATATCCCCGTTGAAAAAAAAAAAAATTACTGACAAAAAAATAGTGATTTTTAAAATTTGTTTTATTTGGTTATTTAGGATTGGTTTTGTCCATAATGTAAGTTTTAAGTTCATTAATTTTCACCTGAGTGGAAGGCTCAAGTGAGTTTTTTCTGATCAAAATTTAAATTGTCCTCATTGTTGTCATAAACTTTTCACTTTTCTTTTTCAGAACAACTGGGCTTTTTTCAACCAAACTGTAAAGGGGAATCAAGTCTGTTCAATTGAGGGGCGCCACATCTTCTTTCAAGATGAGAGGAGAAAATTATGAATTAAAGTAGATTTATGCTCGCACTATGTCATTACCAAATAGTAAAACTGGAACCACGCTTCCTTTTTCCGAGATGTGATTTTTTTTAACTACATTGGTTTGACTTTTACTCTGCGTTTTAAAACTCCGGTAATGATTTTGGCACAAGTTGGTTTCATCAACGAAAGTGTAATGGGAAATTCAGTAAAAGGAAAAGGATGAAAAAACTTTAGGTTGACAGAGACACGATGAGGCAATAAAGATTTAACGGTACGTCGATTTACCCGAAAGGACTCAAAAGGAACCAAAAAGGACCCAATTCAAAAAGGACCCAAAAGAAACCCAAATCCTTTTGGGTCCTTATTTATCATAAAATATATAACTTTGGGTATATAAAGCAACACACTTGATCCCCAAATATATACTTACCGATATAATTGTTAATATTATGAATTTTTTAATTGCTCATTTAATCAGTATATGCTCAATGGGAGCAATTAAGACAAGGTTTTAACAAGGATTTTACATGAAGGTGTTTTTTCTTTGATCTGAAAATTTGTTCAAGGTCATTGCATACCCACTCTACAAGGATACTTTTATAAGTTTAAGTCAGAGTGGGCCAAGGGGGGAGAAAATATTTTCAAGACAAGTGATATCAGACAGACAGTCAGACTGATACCTGTAGGACACCTATAGAGTGGGGCCCTAATTTAACAGTGATGGACACTCTTGGTTGTGGGTCCCCCAATTTGCAGAATAAATTAAACTGGCACCTTTCTGAGTTATCGGGAGCAGGAAGGAACATATATACATAATTAACTGCATCATGTTCAATTTATAAATTATAAATTAATCTTGTACAAACCCCCCATGTTGCGGTCATAAAACAACCCCCATGCCTAATTGTTTTATTTTAACATTACCTATCTTTGCATATATGTTAATAAGTAAAAAATCTGGAAATGCAATTTTATTATAAGAAGATGGGCGAACAAGGCGGGCAATGTGCCTATTATAATGGTACGACAAATAAGAAGGTGAAAAATTAAATATCAATTAGAACAAAATTTTCTTTAATATATTATCTAACATTAAAGTTTTCTTTAAGTAAAGTCTCCAAAATTTGCAAAAATCTCACAAAGTCTAAGATTGAAATTATTAGCCTATGAAATACCATACAGACACCAGACATGTCAGGACAAAAATGATTATTTTCTCATATCATAACACAATTTTTCTATATGAGTGGCTCTTCACTCCATTTATTTGAAAGTTTATCCTCAAAGGACTATATTCTGTAGCGGCCAGTATCTGCCTCCAAAATAAAACTTTGATGGAGAAATCTTTAATTATGTTCTAAACCAGGTGGATATTTGCAGACTTCAAAGCATTAAATATTTTTATCAACTATGACATCATTAGTTAGATATGACGTCAATAAAATGACGTAAATTCCAAATTGCAATGATTTTGAGAGAAAATAGCGTATTTTACGTCGGTATTTTGATTGG